ATTTACTGGCTGCCAATATGTAAATTAGGTTGGCAGCCAGTAAACAATGTGGACACTTTTTTACACTGAGTGGCCCTACTGTAGTTTTCATATACTGTGGTTTCAGGAGCGAAAGACGAAAAATATTTTCTGAAATGACTTTAAGCAACACAGCTTAGATTTTCTTGAAGAATAAAACTGGAAGTGATTGCCCTGTTAGCGCAATAGGCAGCGCGTTAGTCTCGTAATCTAAAGGTCCTGAGTTCGACCCTCGGACAGGGCACGGTTTGTCTGATGCTTTCTTTTGAGAAAATAGGTGAATATTCTGAAATTTCGTAACACACTGATATCGTGAACTGTCATTTCGTTGCTTCGTCGAGTTACAAACCGACGCCCGGCTAGCTCAGTCGGTAGAGCATGAGACTCTTAATCTCAGGGTCGTGGGTTCGAGCCCCAAGTTGGCGCTTGTCAACGAGTTCAACGTCGATAGTTCAAACGTACTTGTTCGACCAGCATCGCGCAATTTAAGTTAATGAGTTCTGAGACTTTTCTTTAACATGCGAAGTCGTGAGTGCATGGTTCCCAATATTCATTTTTTCAAAAATGATTTGAATCGTCATTGCTTTGTTAATAACAAGTCTCTCATCTCGGTTTTCAGGAGCGAAAGACAAAAATATTTTTTAAAAAAGCTTTAATCATCACAACTTAGATTTCGTTTAGGAATAAAACTGGACGTGTTCGCCCTGTTAGCGCAGTAGGCAGCGCGTTAGTCTCATAATCTAAAGGTCCTGAGTTCGACCCTCAGACAGGGTACGGTTTTTCTGATGCTTTCTTTTGAGAAAATAGGTGTATATTCTGAAATTTCGTAACACACTGATATCGTGAACTGTCATTTCGTTGCTTCGTCGAGTTACAAACCGACGCCCGGCTAGCTCAGTCGGTAGAGCATGAGACTCTTAATCTCAGGGTCTTGGGTTCGAGCCCCACGTTGGGCGCTTGTCAACGAGTTCAACGTCGATAGTTCAAACGTACTTGTTCGAACAGCATCACGCAAATTCTGTCAGTGAATTCTGAGACTTCCCCTTAACATACCAGGTCGTGACTGGTTTCTAATATTTACTTTTGTCAAAAATGATTTGCCTCGTCATTAGTTCGTTTATGATAAAGACTTTTATCTCGGTTTCAGGCACAGTATAGGGAGACAACCAGTAGGGCCACTTAGTGGAGAGAAAAGTGGGAATTATTTAAGCTAGGTCCCAGGTGTTTTACGCGGCCAAACTCATTACTCTGGAATACAATTTTATAGTGAACTGCTGCCATTTACTGGCTGCCAATATGTAAATTAGGTTGGCAGCCAGTAAACAATGTGGACACTTTTTTACACTGAGTGGCCCTACTGTAGTTGTCATATACTGTGGTTTCAGGAGCGAAAGACGAAAAATATTTTCTGAAATGACTTTAAGCAACACAGCTTAGATTTTCTTGAAGAATAAAACTGGAAGTGATTGCCCTGTTAGCGCAATAGGCAGCGCGTTAGTCTCGTAATCTAAAGGTCCTGAGTTCGACCCTCGGACAGGGCACGGTTTGTCTGATGCTTTCTTTTGAGAAAATAGGTGAATATTCTGAAATTTCGTAACACACTGATATCGTGAACTGTCATTTCGTTGCTTCGTCGAGTTACAAACCGACGCCCGGCTAGCTCAGTCGGTAGAGCATGAGACTCTTAATCTCAGGGTCGTGGGTTCGAGCCCCAAGTTGGCGCTTGTCAACGAGTTCAACGTCGATAGTTCAAACGTACTTGTTCGACCAGCATCACGCAATTTAAGTTAATGAGTTCTGAGACTTTTCTTTAACATGCGAAGTCGTGAGTGCATGGTTCCCAATATTCATTTTTTCAAAAATGATTTGAATCGTCATTGCTTTGTTAATAACAAGTCTCTCATCTCGGTTTTCAGGAGCGAAAGACAAAAATATTTTTTAAAAAAGCTTTAATCATCACAACTTAGATTTCGTTTAGGAATAAAACTGGACGTGTTCGCCCTGTTAGCGCAGTAGGCAGCGCGTTAGTCTCATAATCTAAAGGTCCTGAGTTCGACCCTCAGACAGGGTACGGTTTTTCTGATGCTTTCTTTTGAGAAAATAGGTGTATATTCTGAAATTTCGTAACACACTGATATCGTGAACTGTCATTTCGTTGCTTCGTCGAGTTACAAACCGACGCCCGGCTAGCTCAGTCGGTAGAGCATGAGACTCTTAATCTCAGGGTCTTGGGTTCGAGCCCCACGTTGGGCGCTTGTCAACGAGTTCAACGTCGATATTTCAAACATACTTGTTCGACCAGCATCACGCAATTTAAGTTAATGAGTTCTGAGACTTTTCTTTAACATACCAAGTCGGGAGTGCATGGTTTCCAATATTCTTTTTGTGAAAAATGATTTGTCCTCGTCATTGCTTCGTTAATAACAAGTCTCTTATCTCGGTTTTCCGGGGCGAAAGACGAAAAATATTTTCCAAAAAAGCTTTAATCATCACAACTTAGATTTACTTTAGGAATAAAACTGACGTGTTCGTCCTGTTAGCGCAGTAGGCAGCGCGTTAGTCTCATAATCTAAAGGTCCTGAGTTTGACCCTCAGACAGGGCACGGTTTTTCTGATGCTTTCTTTTGAGAAAATAGGTGAATATTCTGAAATTACGTAACACACTGATATCGTGAACTGTCATTTCGTTGCTTCGTCGAGTTACAAACCGACGCCCGGCTAGCTCAGTCGGTAGAGCATGAGACTCTTAATCTCAGGGTCGTGGGTTCGAGCCCCACGTTGGGCGCTTGTCAACGAGTTCAACGTCGATAGTTCAAACGTAGTTGTTCGAACAGCATCACGCAAATTCTGTCAGTGAATTCTGAGACTTCCCTTAACATACCAGGTCGTGAGTGCTTTCGAATATTTACTTTTGGCAAAAATGATTTGCCTCGTCATTGCTTCGTTTATGATAAAGACTTTTATCTCGGTTTCAGGAGCGAAAGACGAAAAATATTTTCTAAAATCACTTTAAGCAACACAGCTTAGATTTTCTGGAAGAATAAAATTGGAAGTGATTGCCCTGTTAGCGCAGTAGGCAGCGCGTTAGTCTCATAATCTAAAGGTCATGAGTTCGACCCTCAGACAGGGCACGGTTTTTCTGATGCTTTTTTTGAGAAAATAGGTGTATATTCTGAAATTTCGTAACACACTGATATCGTGAACTGTCATTTCGTTGCTTCGTCGAGTTACAAATCGACGCCCGGCTAGCTCAGTCGGTAGAGCATGAGACTCTTAATCTCAGGGTCGTGGGTTCGAGCCCCACGTTGGGCGCTTGTCAACGAGTTCAACGTCGATATTTCAAACGTACTTGTTCGACCAGCATCATGAAATTTAAGTTAATGAGTTCTGAGACTTTTCTTTAACATACCAAGTCGTGAGTGCATGGTTCCCAATATTCTTTTTTTGAAAAATGATTTGTCCTCGTCATTGCTTCGTTAATAACAAGTCTATTATCTCGGTTTTCAGGAGCGAAAGACGAAAAATATTTCAGTCTATAATGACTTCATAATCATCAGTGAGAGTGAACTTTATTTTGGCACGGAGGCCTGTCATCGAAAATAAGATGATCTTCCCAGGCGCCGTGACATTGGAATTATTTACAATATTTACAGGAGAATGAGAAATTAAAGCTATATACATAACAAAGTAATAAGTATTTTTAGGGAAGTGGAATTCCTAATTTCAATGGACCATTTGCATAAAGGCGGTTTTCCACTAGGCGAAATTTTTCGACCGAATCGAAATTTCTCTTTGTTTCATGAGCTCTGAAGCAGAACTAATTGTAAAAAGACAAAGAGAAATTTCGTTTCGGTCGAGAAATTCCGCCTCGTGGAAAATTTCTCTTTGTTTCATGAGCTCTCCAGCAGAACTAATTGTAAAAAGACAAAGAGAAATTTCGTTTCGGTTGAAAAATTCCGCCTCGTGGAATCAGGCCTTTTTAAGGCCTGATTCCACGAGGCGGAATTTTTCGACCGAAACGAAATAGGCCTGATTCCACGAGGCGGAATTTTTCAACCGAAACGAAATTTCTCTTTGTCCTTTTAAGGCCTGATTCCACGAGGCGGAATTTTTCGACCGAAACGAAATTTCTCTTTGTCTTTTTACAATTAGTTCTGCTCGAGAGCTCATGAAACAAAGAGAAATTTCGATTCGGTCGAAAAATTTCGCCTAGTGGAAAACCGCCTTTATAGACTAAATTTTGATCTGGAGAAAAATTTCATCACAGCTTGAAAGAGCATCACAAAATTAGTAATATTCCAAAGTTTTGTTGCAAAATGTTGTAAAATGCGGATAATATAGCCTTGCGAAATTTGCAATTTTCAGTCATTTTGTATTACAAAATGGGAAATTAGAGAGGTTAAGATACCCCGGTTCCGGTTTACGGGTACGAGTATCGCCATTTTGTTTACCAATTTTTGCTGATGTCAGCAATTTTACCCGTAATTTCTACCCGTTTCCCCGCGGTAAACCGGGGTCTACACGTAAACGACAAACGGGTACGGGTGGTTTCTGTTTACTATTTTTGGGCCGTTTAAATAGTACAAATTTTCAGCATCTTACCCCAATAAATAATGCACATATGCTGGTCAAAGTTTTCAACAATTTACGACGAACCTCAACAGCGAAAGTTGCCATTCTTTGATCGGTTTTCTCACGCCGGAGTATCTTGGATTTCTTAAGTTACAAGTTATTCCCCGATTTACGGGTACGGGTACGTGTATATCACCCGTACCCGTAAACCGGAATCGGGGTATCTTAACCTCTCTAATGATGCCCCAGCACCCGATTAATTGGGCTGTCAATTTCCCGTGCGTAATACAAAATGACTGAAAAACGGCAAACTTCGTATGGCCATATTATCCGCATTTTACAACATTTTGCAACGAAACGTTGGAATATTACTAATTTTGTGATGCTCTTTCAAGCTGTGATGAAATTTTTGTCTAGATCAAAATTTAGTCTATAATGCAAATGGTCCATTGGTATTGAATTCCATAACAGTGCTCCGTTTTATTCGAGACTATTTTTAAAAAAATTGGTGTTTGGTTTAGGGATAACAAAATTGTAGTCATGACCTCGTGTACCATTACTGTGAAATAAATTTGCTCGATTAAATGGCTGTGAAAGATAAGATGGTCCTAATTTGTGGTACACTTTGAACATTAGACAAGATTTTTGTTTATTCGCCTATCCTCTAGTGTCGGCCAATTTATAATTAAGTTATTTAAAATTTGGGAAGAGCGTATTTCGTAGTTGGTCCTAGTAATTATTCGAGCTGCTCGATTTTGTAATTTTTGAAGTTTATCCCGTAAACCTATTCTTAGATTTCCTTTAGGAATAAAACTGGACGTGATCGCCCTGTTAGCGCAGTAGGCAGCGCGTTAGTTTCATAATCTAAAGGTCCTGAGTTCGACCCTCAGACAGGCATCTCTGGTATTATCTATCATCTGTGTCGTGGGTTCTGAAGGGGTAAAATGGGAACTGGGATTGATCGATTTTTAGACTGGGAAAGTGGGATTTGGGTTGCTGGGACTGGGATTTGGCCACTGGGAATGGGAAATGAAGTCCTCAAAAATGGGAATGGGATTGAGGTAACGGGAGTCGATTCCCAATTTTTCCACGTTTTACAAATTTTTGTTGTAACTATATCATTCCCAGCACTACCTGCGAACCGAGGCATACTCTGGCGCCGGGAATTCTGGGTTTTCTGACTATGCGTGTCCCCAAGTCAGATGCACAGCGGAATATATACACGCATAACACGCATAAAAATTGAGAAAATCAACAACTTGTTGCAAGTTGATATCGACAGGCGTGAATAAGGTTGTGCGGCACACTATGAACAGTGTTGTCAACATGTTGTTACAGCATTGTTCAACTGTAACAACTTGGAACAACATGGTTGACAACTTGTTCATAGTTGGCCGCACAACATTGTTCACGCCTGTCGATATCAACTTGCAACAACCTGTGCGTTTTTAGCCGTGTTTATATGCCTGGTTTCCGGTATATACTTCATTTAACCCTTAGTATACAGCTATTTCAATCAAGGTTGTCCACGAGCAAAGCGGAAGAGTCGAATACGTGCGCGAAAGGCTGCTGGGAATCGCTAACAAATTAATGAATTTTCAAAGCGATTCCCAGCAGCCTTTCGCGCTCGTGTTCGACTTTTCGGCTTTGCTCGTGGACAACCTTAATTGAAATAGCTGTATACATCAAAGGCAAAGCACGACCTCTTCTGCCACACGGTGCACACATACGGTGGCTTAAAAGGTAAATAACGTGTTTTTTTTTATTGACTGGTATTTCAATAACTCTGACTGGGATTTCTAATAAAAATCCAACTGGGCCTGGGATTTTGCCAAAATTTCAGGTGGGAATTGAAATGGATGGACCCCCCTTCAGGACCCTCTTGTTCAGTTGTTCTTGGAACATAAATAATTTAATAGCTTCGGTTGCTTTGGCTACTAGTACAGTGCCACAATGTTTAGTTTTTGGTTATTCTTCATTTATCTGGGAACGCGAATTAGCAATAGAGAGTTTAAGCTTTGCGTTATACGGCAAACGACAAACGCCAGGCCAAGAAACATTTTACGGTTTCAGGCCGAATAACGTGTAAATGAACTTGCTGTTTTAAAACTGCAATGCACGACTATTCTTTCGACACAAGAAAGAAAATATGAAACGAAAACGTTCAACGAAAATTTTGCCAAGAAAGTTGGAACCTGCTGTTTGCCGTTCCAGGAAGCGCGAAGCTTAAACTCCCTAATGCCTTCGGCTACTTGTTTGGGAGATAAATTTCTTAGATCGTTTGTGCCCACGTGAAGAATTATTGACCCCGGTTCTTTGCGAATCACGAGTTTCAGGCAGTCCTCCATATCTTCAATGCCTGCAAACCTCTTTACAACGAGATGATTCGGCAGTATTCGTGTCAGACAAACGCCAGCCATGCAAATTTTTTACGATTGAATCACCTGGAACAACTGTAACTTTTTTTGTCAGATTTAAGGCCCATACAGACCGGACGCGATTTGGCAACGCGACGCGAATTTCCAGTTTTCAATTCCAGGAGGCAAGTTTAGCTATTTGGTCTGCATAGCTTGTAAGATTTTCTGATTTTTATCCATTGACGGTTTTATTTGTTTTTAAAAACTGAAAATTCGCGTCGCATAACTCGCGTTGCCCAATCGCGTCTGGTCTGTGTGGGCCTTTAAGGCAATTTTCCATTGCAGTCTGGCCGCGCGGGCGGAGCAATAGAGACCTTTAGACCGCTGACGTTTACGGCAAACGGCAAACCGCTAGCGAGGTTTTTGATTTTACAACTCTATTATAATAACTTTTACACCAGTTTTGAAATATGTTAAACTTATTAAACTTGTGCTCTTTAGCAATGAATTAAGAAAGCCAATTGACCACTAGTCATGCCATTCACCAAAGCAGTAAATTAAGATTTGGCGTTTTAAGTTGACGTTTGGCGCAGCCTAGTCCCAGTCGTTCTGAAGCAAGCGCGAGAAAAAACGTGGATGTAGTACGAGACTGGGACCTAGGTGTGACGTCACCGCAAAAGGTGCTTAAGAACGCCTAGCAGATTTCAGTATTTTTAATATGGCGGAAAATTTATTTATACAAATAACTTTGTAAATACGACAATGTTCGTTCATCATGTTTGATGTCTACATAACCAAATTCAAACTGTATTAAAAATGTGCTCAATTAAAAAAAAATATATACAAATTTACGATACTGAGTCTGAGCAATGGTCGTATAATCGTTGATGTTATTCATATACTCGCAAGTTGTGATCAACACTAGACCATACTGGTATACACAACTACGCTTTCTACTTGACAGGTTTAAGTAGCTGAGGAGATTGGAAATATTCGCCTGACATGACTGTGTTGTCAAAACATTTTTGGTCGGAGACTCGGCATAATTTTCAAGCTTCTAGATAGCATTTAATATGGCTTTATATTTTAGTAAACACGAGTCATATTTAGCCCGTTATTCCATTCTGACTGTATGGTAGCGAAACGTAGCCTATTTCATTGTTCCGACAGCATTAGAGCAAAACTAATGACTTAATTATAAACACGATGGAAATTTCCATAACATTTTCTATTTACAAATGCGATATGCTTCGTAACCAGGCCAGGGACCACTTTTTTGAAATCAGGGACCATTTAACCGAAATCTGCTAGGCTCTCTCGCTGAAAGCCTGAAGCGTTCCGCACAGCACACCCAGGCATAAAACTTTTAAGACTTATTTAAATATATCAAAGCAGCGAATAGAGAGAGAGCCTGGGACTAGGCTGCGTTTGGCGTATAAATTTCATGCTTTAACGACTACAAGCCCTCGTAGCAGTTCAAGCATGAAATTTATACGCCAAACGTGAAACGTCAACTTCAAACGCCAAATCTTAACTTACTGCTTTGGTGAATGGCATGCGGACTAGTGGTTAATTTACTTTCTTAGATCATTGCTAAAGAGTACAAGTTTAATAAGTTTAACATATTTTAAAACTGGTGTAAAAGCTATTATAATAGAGTTGTAAAATCAAAGACCTCGCTAGTGGTTTGACGTTTGCCGTAAACGTCAATCTAAAGGTCTCTAATGAACGCTTCGCCCGCGCGGCCTTTAGTCGTGCGACTCGCTCGTGACGCGCGTGTACGCTTTGAAAGTTGAAAATTGTTCAACCCACTGTATAACACTGTATATAGTTCACTGGTTCAACCTTCAAAGCGTGATCGCGCGACCAAATGCTCAATACTGTACCTTTTCTCCAGGCGGGCAAAACGGCCGTAATGGAAAATAGCCTTTACGGCCGCTTTGCCCGCGCGGACGAAGTGATCTCGTTAATTTGGGCACGCGCATTGTACATTTCAATGGTCAACCAGTGTTTTATAGCGCCCTGGGTCAACATGTCATAAACACGCGTGATCTTACCTCAAGACACGCGTGTCAGCCTATGGTGTCAGCCAATTTAAATGCCAATTTATATTGCGTAGGATCTTGTAGGAAGATTATTTCGCTGGCCTCAGAGTGACAAAACGTAACAAAGGTTACAAAGCAACGGTTTTACTAACACTATAACTCTACTCCAAACACCAATTCTAACCCTAATCCTAATCCTTAGTCCTTACCCTAATACTAACCTAACCCTACTCCAAATTTGTTTCTAAACCAATTTATCTTAAAAGAAAAAAGTTTTGACGAAATGTCATTCTGAGGTCGGCGAAATAATTGATGCCCGATCTTTAAGGGTCTGGGAACGAAATGTCCCGGATGTAAAATTTGAGTGAACATTTTTCGCGCGGATTTATAATGGCCGCCACTTCAAGTGCGGGGAAATTTCTATCACTTTATATTTGCCATATAACTGTTTCTGAATCACTTTATTTGGGACCCTCATGCTCCAAACATGTAAGTACTTGTCCTATAATGTTTTGTAAGTAATGAATTCAGTTTGAAGTTGTTAAATTCCTTCATTTTTAATGTCAATGCATGGCCACTTGTGTCAAATTGTTTGGATTTGATTCATGTCACATTGTTACGTTAGATTAAATACCTATTGTTTTGGGTTTGTGTTCGTGAGGTATCGCCAACAGCAGTTACTGATATTAATAAGGGTAATAATAATATCTATTTATTTTGATACAGGAATGAATTATTGGATTTCTACGAATGACCCAGTGGTAGTGTAGGCTTTGTGAAGCCTGTGGTCTGTGTCCATATCAACTTACAAAATGAGCAAGGAAGCACAAAGTGTGCCAATAGTAACTTTAGCTGGTGTTGCTAATATTGGTGATTGTAAGTATATTTATGTATGAATGTGTCTGGTAAAAATATAAGCAATGTTTATAATTATGTGATAACAATAGAGGGCTATTAAAACTCTTCCCTACTCTGACTAACTCTGCAGTCTGGCAAAGTGGTGCTGCTGTGGTCCATGCATTGGTTGCAATGTCTTGGATGTACTTTATATTTAAATTGTCCAACTTGAATTTGAGTGGTTAGGTTTAAACCTAACAAAAAAATCCTGTGGTTCCAGTTGCCTGACCAACCCTGTGGTTACATTAAAAATGGCATCCGTTGTTACATTTCCAGAAGTGTTCTTCTGGAAATGCTTATGTGTTGTGGCAATGGCAACTGATCACACTCATGACCAGGGCTCGAATTTTATCGCGGCAATTGCCGTAGAGGGAGTACAAAATGCTGTGGATCATTGCGGAAACGACGGCAATTTTTTGCAGTATAGTATAATTTTTATACTATTCACTAAATTACTATATTAATTAACAATAAAATTAAATTTTTGTTACAGTAATTTGAAAAAATGCCGTGGAAACTGCCAAAATTGCCATAGACAGCTGTTACGTTCTACGGCAATTTTTTAACGCCATTGCCGTCGATTGATTTCAGGGTAATTCGAGGCCTTCTTATGACTGTTTTTTGAGAAAACAGATTTCTGACCTACCTACTCTAATTTCTTCAGGGTATGAAACCGGAACCACATGATAATTTTTGTGTGGCCTTATTTTAGGGATCTACCTTATAGGCTTCGTGCAGGGTTTTAGCCAGGATCTAATTCAAAAGAATGCAAATGCTCAAAGAAAAGTGTGAATAATCGACAAAAAGTTAGAATAATTTAATAACAGTTGAATAATAGTATGCGATATTATACTAATCATCGCCATTTGACTGTGGTTGTGTAGAATGATGTCTTGTGTAAAATAAATCTTTCACTGAATGAGAAAATTCACTTAATGGCCTGCCAAAAGCTGTTATTTTTAATTTGCTGTCTTAACTCTTCTTTGACAGGCCCTTGCAAAACTAGGGTGAGGCGGTTTTTCGGTAAACCGAAAAAAAAACGATGTTTTTTGAAAACCGAAATATTCGATGTTACTTTTGGAGAAAAACCGGGGAAAAACGAAGAAAATCGGTATTTTACTGAAATCGAACCATACTTATACGAGTTTGATGCAATTGAATCACGTTTTGGCATTTACACACGAAAAACTAAAGAGAGTTTGTTTGAAATTTGATAACGTTTTCAAAATACCTTACGTTTAATATCTTGCGTGAGTACTCAGTAGCGTGTTGTGTCTTATTTTACAGTAGTTTTGATTTTCGAACATAGTTTTTAAAAAAACCGGTTCACTCGGTTTTCTCGTTTTTTTCCAGTCGGTTTTCGGTTTTTTGTAGAAACCGCCTCACGCTATGCAAAACTATTGTGAAATACTATTTTGCAGGTTCATATCTTCGGTTCAGTAAATGCCATGTAGATGAAAATACCACCATCTACTAATTCTTAATGATAGTTTTAGTCAGTGTCAACATTGTAGCGATTTATGAGCTTTGAAAGTCAAGTGAGATTGTATATTCAGGGTTTTTTCCGGATTTTCTCTTGGGTCCGTTTTTGCAGAGAAGATTGAGTTTAGCTGAACAGTTGGGGTGGCTGCACCCCCCCCCCCCCTCAATAAATGTTGAGACGCAATGCGTTAAAGCAGGGGCACTAAGGGACACTACAAACTGGTTAAAGATGGCAAATGCGTAGTTTTTCTTGTGTTGTGAGATGAATTCCAGCCATTTTTTCTTAATTATCGGGTTTCCAACTGAAAACTAATTTCCACACGTCACAAATTTAACTCAAATAACTTCATTTTTACTGCACTGAAACTTTGGTGAGAAGATTGAGTTTCAAAACTCAATTCAAGATTGAGTTTTTGGGTCCGTTTTACGGCCATAAAAAATCCCTGAAGAAACCTTGATATTATTATTATCAAATTATGCAATTGTCTGAACAAAAATATAAACTAGCCATCCTTTTTGCCAAACAAAACTTCTTTGTAAAAGTCCAGACACACCGGACGCGATTTGACAACGCAACACGATTTTTTAGTTTTTGAAAGTTAATAAAACAGCCAATGAGAGCAAATTTGTTTGTCTCAATCAAAAGAACACTTAAAATTAAATAAACTCTATTACCGATTTGTCATATCTTGCTTAGTTCTCGAAATATTTAGACCGAAATTAATGAGCTGTCCTCCATCTTGGACTAATTCTTAACCTCATTAAACTATGGTTTTGATGACGTCAGGAGTTGGGTTAACCATCTATTCAGTAAAACTACACCAGGGATGCCGGAGCGAGGGTATGGCACAAGGGGGCAATGTTGACGTTAGGGCAATCACTAAGTAATATTTCGTTTCTGAAAAATTTTTCTGGAACCTTAATTCACCAAAACTAAGGCAATAAAATTTTCCGGAACCATAATTCACCAAAACAAGGGCAAAAAAATTTTGAAAGTTAACCTAATTTTTGACACAATATTCCAGAAAATTTCATGTATATAATTATCAATATGACATCCATTTCACCTGTAATTCATACTTTTTAATCGTTGTACCTCATATTTTTTGGGTTAGAATTTTTATCTAAGGGCACTTTCGCCCCCCCCCTGCCCCCCTTACTAAAAGGCAAGGGGGCGATGCCCCCTGCGCCTCCCCTTTCCGGCGTCCCTGAACTACACTAAAATGAACGAGTACTTAACAACCAGGAAACAAAGTTTTGGACCCACATTGATCGCTTACTCATAGGATATAAAATTAGTGTGACCCCTCTCTTGATGTAACATGCATATCTTCAATAATCCCAGATGGTGAACAGCTCACTTTGTTTAGGTGAAATATTTTTAGACCCTGCTTCTGTGATAGTGTTCACCAGTTAGGATTTGTTTGGGACAGGCTCCATCCAGGGGCGGATCTAGGAATTTTTACAAGAACATTTAAAAGCAAAAACTTGACTGTTTTTAAAGTTTGAATATAGGTAATGAGAACCATATTGGTATAGCAATCATTTTATGCAGCAACAGTCCCTGCTGTTCATGTAGTAAAAAAGTAGAGAAAATGTCATGCAGATAGCGAGAGTCGCTTGTACCTACATGGTATGTTGTTATAAAAAGAAATACCAGACCGTAATACAAAACCTACTGTACCTCTGGGATGTAACCACATCCTCACTGATTTTCTGTGAATATTTTTTAACATAACATCACTCTATATGGCCATAATTGCATTGCAAGTTGCAGCCAAAAATGGCTCAGGTAACATGGCCTTACTGCCCTTACATGCTAGTCGTTTATAATAGTTGTCTAGTGTTTGGACTTTGGCCTATTTGGTTGAGCAAAGTAGAATGCTAGACGTAAAGAAATGCATTTGTCCTGCATGAAAAAATTTGAAAAGGCTGATGTGCCCACATTAATTAAATATATGAGTAAGCATGGAAAATAGTGCTTCCTTTGAAATTAATAGGAAATTAATGCTTCCTTGTGACAATGATGTTTTGTGCTGTCAGTATATTGGGCTACTTTGTACAAGCAAATAGGAATAATTCTTATTATAATCGAGCACATTTTATTTAATTTCATTCTACTATCCGCCTCAATTAGCTTCGCTATTAAATTAGCGGATAGTATTGTACTGTATATACAGATTGTTTATATATTTATTAAGGTATAAATTCCGCAGTAATTGTTCCCGAAATGAGAATGTGCTGAAACTTCCCAGGCATGGAGTTTATGACATACTTAAAGTAAAATCACACATGACAATCACAATATACCACCACATATATACAATCACAATATACCACCAAGACATGACAATCACAATATACCACCTTTACGCCAATATGGCGCCATCTTGACGCTCATTACGAGTAACAGCAAAATCACAACAGCCCGATATTTATTGACGTTTTTAGCGTGGATTTTGCTTTAGTAAACCTATCTTGTAATCATTTTTGAAAAAATATTGTGTTTTGAGCAAAATGAAACTACTAAAGTGTACAATTCTGATCCACAAATGTCTTTTCCACATTTCTTTACACATGTCTTTCTTTGAGAACATGCATTGATAAAGGATTTTTTTTCAAGATCCAGAAATGATTTTTCTTTTAATTTCGGATATGAAATGTAAAATGCATTAAAGAAATAAATTATCAGTTAAAAAACGGGGGTCACCGATCTTTTTTGGGAACTGTGGAATTAAAACGTGAAATACAAGTAAATAAATATACTACAGACACAGAAACCCTAGCTACCCTTTTGTATGCCTTTTTTGAAAACATTGATTTTAGCGTAATTCTTTGCACGAATGTAACCAAAGTTGAAGTAACATAAAATTGTCATAAAATGATTTTTTTTAAACGGTACGTATAAGGGACCGGTCATAAAGTATTTACTAGGGGGTGTGGAGGATATTTTTGGGGGGTACGGAAAAAAAGAGAACCTCTGAGAGGGTACGAAAAAAACAACAGAACCTCTAGGGGGTACCAAAATCTTAGTACTACATATAGGTACGGGAAAAAATTACATTTTATAACTATTATTGAATATTGAATGTATTTGTGCCCAGATTTAAGTTTGGGAAGAATTGCTTTACTATAATTATTAAATCAACACAAGGTATATGTTTTAATCTGACTCAATGTCAGATGATAGGTAGGATTCAGTATTCGTTGAACTTTTGGAGTACAAATCTAATACACCTGAATTGTCAATGCTAGCAAGCTCACACCGGCATTAGAACTTGATCAACCTGATGAGGAAGTGTCACATTGAATGGAAGCAAAGTTTTTTCTATTTGAAATAAACCAAAAACAAATTTTTCTGTTTGATCTTACCCTCAGCCCATCGCTAGTACTGTATGTCAGAATCAGAAAAGACTGGTGACGAATCGGAGACTGCGGAAAATGTTGAGGATATGGTTACCACCGACAAGAAGTGGGAGAGTTATCACAAACTGGAGAGTTTCGAAACATAGATAAACGCAAGACAAATGTTAAAACAGAATTAATGATAGAACGGGGGGGGATATGAAAATTTTCACTTACTTCGAAGGGGATTACGAAAATTTTTCCATAGGTTTTTGGGAGGGTATGGAAATATGTACTTGAAATATCATTTATCCTCCACCCCCCTCTAGTAATTACTTTATGACCGGCCCCTAATGGATGAAAATATAAGTTATAAGATGTGTGCAGTAAAAGTGCGCAATGCAAAACTGCGGAATTACCTTAATAAAATTTGATTTGATTGAGTTCCCTCTTGACAAATGAAATCATCTGGCTTTAGACAAACTAAAATAACAAAAGAGCTGCAACAACAAGCCTCAAAATATTGGTGAATTGCCCATCTTGACACCTGAAAACCCACTTTGATTGTGGGAGATAAAATTCTAGTCATGGGTTTAGTCCTTTGGCTTTGCCATAGATAAAGATCTTATGTTTTTAAATGCGATCTTGTAGTTTTGTCTGAGCTGCCACTGCCTAAGAAGACAAAGAAAGAAGTAATCAGTTTGTTTCCTAATAACAAGACCAGTTCAGATGCTTGGAAAATTATTCAAAAACAAGACATTAATTTGGCTGTACAGTTGGCTAATGTCCTTAACCAAGTCAACACAGATCACCTGTGAGTTGTGCTTCCTAACTTACATTGTGTTGTAATGCAGTGAAGGTATTAACATCTCCTATTTACTCTATGAATCTTCTTGCTTATTCAGAAAGCTGAAAGATGGAGTAATAGATGATGCAAATATTGGTGCAAAGAATACAGATCCAAAATTGATGACATTACTTGCCCAAAGTGTTTCTCATTTGCTCCAAACTAGAGGTAAATAGGAATTTCATTTTACCATTTTTTAATAAGTAGATTTCGTAAATAGACTTGGTCTTTTTCTTCTGCCAAGAACGTTTAAGTACACATGAGTAAATATCGTGTTAACTATATTATCAGTTTATTAAAAATTGACAAATCAAAATTACACCTGTTATGGAGTGCTAAAGGTGTGATTGTGGTAGTAAAACACTTGATGGTTGACTCTATTACTAAGTACACTTCCACTAATAACACCAGAAAGCTGTGGATTCAGAGACTGTGGATCGAGGCCCTTCATCGGGGAGTTACTACCTACGCTGGCACACACTGTTGGAGTTTATTCCACTGATAACTGTCCTAGCATTTTCACATATTCTGCTTAGTGCCTTCCAACCCATTAAGTACATCACTTCATACTGTTACTAACATTTTATAAGTGAGTTTAAAAAACTCCCATGTATTAACTCCCATATTTTTATGTATCTATCTGTTTGTCACAGGTGAGTCCTCCCAGCAGTCTGATTTCTCTATAAATTCTATGATGGGAAATACTACAAATACTCCATTAGTGAATGGCAGGGCTGGATTACATGAACAGCAAGCAGCTTTGTCACAGCAATTTAATGCTAGTGGCCCCAGTTACCAAGCTCAAATGAATACACCTGGTCAGGCATTTTCACCCTTGAAGACAAGACGGATGCGAACTACTTCAGCAACGCCACTATCTAATTCAAATAACCAGAATAACGAATTACAACAAGGTATGTGTATAGCAACTGTTCTTGTGTAATAAAGTGTTCCTAGTCTATATCATGAATCTAATATTTCTCAGGTAGTCCACTAGTCCAGGCATAAAGGCCATTTTCCATTGCAGTCGCTTTGCCCGCGCGGGCGGAGCGAACATTACTCAACTTTCTCTGTAGTTGCCTAACCTGTGCATTTTTTGTCCGCTGTCCGCCTGCATGCTCGCGGACATGCCATGTAGGTAGAGCTACATTCAACTTTCTTGGCATGCCCGGGCAACAGATTTTTCACGTGATTAAAATTGGTCGCTCCGTCCGCGCGGGCAAAGCGACTGCAATGGAAAATGGCCTTAAGTCGCGGTAGCTTAAGCCGGTTACAGACAATTTTCATGTGACAAGTTTTATTTGCTCGTCTGTTTAGGCATGCAACTTAGCCAATTTTTATTCAAGTGCACTTGTCATAGAAAATTTGTGATGCAATTGTGAGAACATGCATGTCATGCAATCATGCAATTAGAACTTGAAATAGAAAACTTGCTATTGTAAATTGCTTTACTTTTTACTCTATGTTTATTGAAGGTGTTCATTCTAATGTAAGTGCTAGAACTCAAATGGCTACACCTGTTCAAGAGTTTTCACCGTTGAAGACAAGAGGAATGAGAAGCGGTTTACAAACACCGTTATCTAATAATAGACAATCACAAGGTGATTTAATTTATTGTTTGTCCGTGAATAACTTGTTCTATACAAGATTCTTCTGCCTTTTCTCTTATACCATGGCCCACATTTCTCCCAGTCAACTAAAGCTAAACAATTGTTTCTATGCTCAATGAATTTATGTGCCTTTTTTGTATTTTCTGTTTTATTTATCGTATGTCTCAAACATTAAAAAAAAGTCTTCTTGCTTTTTGCTTTATCGAAGCTTTTGATACGTAATCCTGGATCTTCATCAATGCAAAGAAGATGATAAAGATTTCTGAAGGCGAAATAAATCATCGTGGTCCGGTAGCAGCCTCGTGCGCAGGCGCCGTGACGCGCACATGAAATTTTAGCTGATATCCCGCGAATGCTATCCAATGAGTTAAAAAATGCTGCACGCTCCTAAGGGAAGCGCGTTGCTTTTCATCACTGAAAAAAATAAGCTCACAGGGTGTTAGCTACAGTCAAAAATTCCGCGTTAAACGCGGTTTTCCCAATTTTTAATACCTTGAGATCGCAATTTCCCAATTTGGGTGAGCCAAAAAATAGTTAAAAGCATGTTTATAACTACATTTGCTCAAAATTACTCCCAAAATGCGGGAAATGCCATTTCAAAGACACAAAAATTTTAAAAATCGAGAGGGAGCAACCGCATGCCCCCAGACCCACAAAGAAATGCCCGGCTTCAGGCTAAAATAAATTTCCCAATTTCAGGTAAACGCGGATTTTTTTTACTTCTGGCTAACACCCTGGCTCAGGGCTTGCGCCTCCACCGCAGTCTTAGGAATCCTAACCCTAAAAGATGCGTGCAGAGGAGCTAGATCTCTCCTGCCTTTGAGGGTTTTTCTCCGGGTACTCCGGTTTTCCTCCCTCTCAAGAATCAACACACTTGGGTAATATATGTATATAAGTGTAATGTGTGTAATTCTGTATGAGGAAGTTGTTAAATAGGCTTAGCTTCACGATTTCCCTTTCAAAGTGCGCATTCTCTATATAAGAAAGGAAAATGTTTCACAAGTGTTTACCGAGTTTTTAAAGCACGCAAAAAAACCGGAATCGTTGTAACAAATGAGCTGAACAACTGAGCATTTCAATTTTCCAAAACGAGGTAGAAAGTTGACGCTAGCTAGAGTACTTGTTGTCTGGAGGATTTTCAGGTAAACACAAAGTAGCTGTATTAAGTCTACGTTATCGTACTCCAAGCGTTTTTCGACGTTCATTCGTACGTCTGTATATGCTTTTTTAACCCCTGAACTAGTGTTTCCTCAAAAAAAAACCCAACAAATCAACTATATTATCGGCGTACAAACTTGCAAGGATGAAGGAACTTAAGTACAGTACTGCTGTAACTTCTCAAAGTATTTCAATTTCCTTCTCTCATGATTCTCTTTAGGAAATGCACCTGGCCAGCCAGCTTTTGACAATGAATACCACAATTCAGATCAATTAAATGTTCAAAGAAATTTAAATAATTTACAAGAATTTAATGAAAATATATCTAAATCAGGCAAACAGGCAGAGATGCCAAAGAATGGATATGTTACTCCGAGTCGACATGAAACACCACGAACTGAATTAATGAATCAAATGCAGGAAGTTCCTGATGACATATTATGTGGTCCTGTTGAAACTACAGGAAAACATTCTCATGCTTCGAAGAAACACAAAAAATCTAAGAAACATAAATTATATGACAATGATGACAGTTGTACAGAAGAAGATGTAGAATCTAGTGGCATCCATATTCAATCGAACGCTCTTGCAACTGATAATATTTCCGTGGTTGATTCAAGTGAAAATTTCTCCCCAGCAAAGGGAAAATCAATACCAAAGATAATTATATCAAGGAACACAGAAGATTCTAATAAATTTATTGTAAAAGAAAATTCAACAAATTCAGAGAATAGTCTTAAAAGAAGAAGATCTACGGAAGATAGTGATCACAAATTACACGATGGCAAACGATCAAAAAGTGAGAAGGAAACAAATGGTAACCCCATTCTGATGATGCCTTCAATTCCTATTAAACTCGATAGACGGTTATCAGTTCGGTTGGAAGATGTCTATGGTAAGTGCTGATGTGCTAAATGGTTTTCTGGGATCCTTCTTTTTTGCCTGTGTCTAAAATGTGCACTTAAAACCTGCTCATGAGCATGATAATTAAGATTGTTTTGAACAGTCAAAACTTGTTTGTTGATCTATAGATGGTAGGTAGTCTAGGGCAAAGGCGGATTTTCATTTTTTTTAAAGGAGGGGTGGAAAAATTTGTAGTGGGGTGTAAGTGACACCACTGAGTGAACTTCGGCAGGGGTTAGGCGTTAGGGTTAAAGACTTTCACACAAAATAGGAGGGGTGAAGCGAAATTTTGGTGGGGTTGAACACTTTATAAGAGGGGTTAGAGAGATTCTAGGGGGGTTAACCACCCCCTAACCCCCCAGTAAATCCGCCCACTGTCTAGGGTAACTTAAATAACAAGGGATAGACTTACTAAACTCGTACTTTGAATTAGGTGAAAACTTTGTCCAATATGTTCTTATAAAACAAACTTTGACCAGTATTTAAGGAAGGTTTCTCTTATCAGAGCCTCGTGTTCTGCCTTGATTTTTTTAATAATTCTGGTGAAGACTTTATTTTATTTTGTTGAGACTGTGTCTACAAATATATGTATACTGCTTCTCGTTTGTATAATTACAAATAGAGAGCTTAAGCTTCGCGTTATACGTCAAACGACAAACGCCAGGCAAAGAAAAATTTTACGGTATCAGGCAATAAAGAGTGAATGAACTTGCTGTTTTAAAACTGCAATACATAATTATTCTTTCGACGCAAGAAAGAAAATATGAAACGAAAACGTTCAACGAAAATTTGCCAAGAAAGTTCGAACCTGCCGTTTGCCGTTCCCGGAAACGTGAAGCTTAAACTCCCTATTATATGTATACTGCTTCTCGTTTGTATAATTCCCATGAAACTTGGTTGTTTTTCTTCTGGAATGGATGTTAAGATTTCTTATCATTTATAATTACAGATTACCGTCAATCAACATCGTACAAAAGATTTTCTGAGAATATGGAAAATATGTTTGACTTTGATGATCAATGTGATATTAGCAGCTCGATTGAAAATGGTAAGCCATGAATGATAACTATCCTTTCGGCTGCCCTGGCGCTCGAAACTTTTGGCGGCTGGCCCAAGGCAAAGTCTGACTTTGGGTCCTTTGTGCGTTTTTAATCGTCAGGTATCTTGATTTCTATATTCCAATATAGAGAAAATTTCTATATAGAGAAAATGATTTCTATATTCCTTAACTTCTTGGACAGTCGTCTTGTTTATAATGAAATAGTGAAAATGATTTTGGGATAGATTAGATAGAAATTTCAATCTGCATGGCATCCCCAAGTTCGAAATTGTAAATTCATCTCTTCTGTGTGCATGCGCTTTTATGCATTTTCATGCATTTTTTTTTCTTACCCCTTTTATATCTGGTGAGGGGGGGGGGGCACATTTCACTCTTTGCTCCTCCCCGTGCGAGCGGCCCTGGATATTATTTGTGGAAAAAACTTCCCCATAGTTTGATTATCGTTACACTTTTCTAGAGTCTCAAGAAGTCGATGCAGAATTTCTTCTTACCAGAACTGCGCTCTCAGAGATGTGTACCGAAACTGCCAAACTAAAGTCCATGAAAACACTTTCGAAGGTACTTTAATATTAGGAATAGTAGAAGTCATATATGAGGGAATATTTATCAACAACTCAGACTCAGATATTGAGAAAATTATTTTGAATTATTTGCTTTATTTTGCAAATATTGACTTTACAAATTTGTGCTGGTATCTGATTTTATTGGATATTCTATATCAAGCACGTTTGCACTTTTTTCTCTACGACGTCCACTTTACACGTTAATTTAAAAATAATTCCAAACTTTCACTTATTCTTGCAGGTTGATGGAAATGATTTGTCAAGATTAATTATAATAATGAGAAGACATATTAAAGATGGTATTAAACTGCAGTTAACGTCCTGTCAAGTAAGTTTGAAGTGTCTGTGCCAGTGTAGGTAGCGCCAATAATATCAACAAGCTTTCGTTGGTAGGGATGCAATATACCTGAAAATATATAAGGACAAATGAGATTTCCTTATATTTTTCAGGTAGCTGCATCCCTACCAACGAAAGCTTGTCAAGTAAGTTGGTTGTTAGTAGTCATTACTGAGCAAAATTTGCATAAGGCCACATAAAAAAAAATGGTTGGTTAGCGTCCTCGCCCGCCCACAAAAAAGGCCCCGCTCAGGATTTTTTAAAATTTTTTATTTAAAAAAACTTTTATTGATCAACGGGCTCTAATATATGCTAATATCCAACTATTTTTTATGTGGCCTAAAAACGAGAAGAAGCAATAAGTGGAGTTAGTATAGTTGCATGGTAGTATATCGTAGCATTCTTGAACCGTCAGCGACTCGAGCGACTGCAGGTCGAAGCTGCGCGCGGCTACGGCAATGGTCAGAGGGCATTTTGGTCAGTGTTTTCGGCATTTTGGTCAGTGTTTTTGAATTTTTACGGTAGTATTCGATATCAAAGGAGAGCAAAACTTTGCAATCCTTAATATCAATATCATTTTTAGTGTGAAGTTTCACTTCACACTGTTGTGATGGCTGGCGAATTCACACGAATCAGTCAGTCAGTCAGTCAAACAGTCAGTCAGTCAGTCATAGAGTGAACTTTCCGGGGGGTGTATACGATTTATGTTCGCAGTGATTTATTGTACTTAGTCAGTGCTTTGAAGGTTATTTAAGCAATTTTATTTATTTTATTTAAATATTCTTTTGTCCTTTTGCCAAGTTCACAAAAATTTCGAGGAATCGTTGTCGTTATTGTAAATTCAGTTATTTTGTAATTTCAGAACATTCGCTTCTCATGTTGTGTAAAGGATCTTTCCCCCCGGAACACCCGATTTTTTCTATAGCAGGGCAAATGCGCATGCGCTATGAAGCCGTAGATCACGATGCTACGAAGGAGCGACAGTGTTGTTTTCAAATGTATATAAAATTTAAACATTTCAGACGTGAATATTGAGTAAATCTTTGAGAATCTACGCAATATATAAATTTATGTTATGCATGACGGTCTTTCAATCAAGTACTGATATATGTGGACGGTATATTCATTAATATACAGAGCTAGGAAGGAGCGACAGTGTTGTTTTCAAATGTATAAACATTTCAGACGTAAATATTGAGAAAATCTTTGAGATTGTAGGCATTCAATTGAGTGCCGATATTATTTTCACGGCATACTCGTTCTACAGAAGTACAGTATACGTAGGCAGAAGCGAGACAGTGTTGTTTTCAAGTAATATGAACATTTCAGACATGAATATTGAGAAAATCTTTGTCCTTTGAGATTCTACGCAATAATACTATTATGTTGTGCATTACCGGTAGTCAATTAAGTGCCCATCGATATTATTTAGACCGTGTATTCATTATACATTGTTATTGACTGTATAAGGTGCTACATCACAAAATAGATGGCTACGCTCACTGTACAAAGAGCGAAACAACTATTAAAGTGCTTATGTCACAAAAATTTATTTTTGATATTTGGTAGAGGACAAAAAGTTAGTTAATAGGTTCTTTAACATTTTTCGGTTTTCTCTTTTCATTCGCGAGATATGAGGCTCTAAACCTTGAAAAATTGGCTTTTAGCGAAAAATTGTCGCGCCCCAGAAAAAACCGGAAAAGGGTCTGGGGCGAGACCAGTGTGACGTAGCTTAAGGGACGGAAGTTCGAATTCACATGTGAAGGAGAATTAAAAAGCTATTGGGAAGACATATGTGTTTCAGCACTCATGGTTCTTAATGTGACTCAGAATACAATTATATTCCTAGGTATATTATACAGGATGAATCAAATGATACTAGTCACGAAAATGGAACTCTAGAAGCAGTTGATAGCGAAATTTTAGGCGATTATGATGCATATTGTCTTTATGCCGATGAGCCGCTAGCGAGCCAAGAATGCTACGCGCGATAAAAGCTACGCGCGATATTTAAAACTTTGCGGAACACAAGGAACAAAACGAGATGCTAGAACGAAGATTACACGGCCTTGAAGATATTAAATCATGGTGAGAGTAAACATAGATTTATTTAACATTTTAACGGCGTAAAATAAGTATCTCTGGCTGATATATTTTTGATACGGCATCAGTCACATCAAACCCTAACCTGTATCATATTTCACAAGTGTAAATGCGGCGATTGTGTGATAATACATATACAATATACACACGAAGCTTGGTGCTGTCAGGAGATGGAATCTTGTAGGGATGTTCTGAAAGATAACTTCGTTTTAGAAGATGTGCCACAGCCGCCGTGCTGTATCACTCTGCACTCGGGATTCAGACCTATTTGTTTGGAAAAATGGGCTTTAAGAATTGAACTTGCGAGAAAATACAATCGTTCAATCGTTCGTATTAAATAAACGTGATCACAGAGAAACACTGTAGCTTCAAACAAGAATATATACGTAATTTGCTCTGAACCAGTCTGTTTATATTTTCTTTGATCTCGTGTCTTGTATTTTCTTGCGAAGGTGAGGGAAGTGTGGTTTTAACTCTTTGTTGTGACTGATGCCATATGAGCCCGTATCCCGCAAAATATATTAGCCAGAGATACTTTATATATAGTTTACGTTAAAATGTTAAAATAAATCTATGTTTACACTCACCATAATTTAATATCTTCAAGGCCATCTAACCTTCGCTGTAGCATCTCTTTTTGTTGCTTGTGTTCTGCTGAATTTCTGAAATATC